ATAGAAGGGCGTAGGAGATACCTCTTAACTGTGTTCTACGTGGAGTAAAAATTAATCTGCACCTTAATTAAACAGCCTTGAAAAAGTTCTTGAAGGATTTCATTTAAATGTTCTGCAAATGGTCCCTTGACTCCTGAGCATGACTATAGATTTGTTTTTTTCTTCCACATTTGTACTTGTGAAATCTTTCATTTCTTTGTGTTGGTCATCTTAGTATGGGGCATGGTTAGAACTCTGCTTCCTGATCATATTTTAAGTCATAATATATGGCCAACTTAATGATAAAATCTACCACAGACAGCATGGAGTAGCTCAGGAACAGTTGAATGCAGGCATTTTTCACTTTGTTTGCTAATTAAACGTCAAGAAGTATGGCAGTAATTTCTTTGCTTATCCATCCTGCACCATTTATGTACAGCTGATGCCCTTCATAAGGCTAGCACAGGGCAATAGATGAAGTTCTCTCAGAGTTTGTTTGGTATTGCCCTACTACTGCTTCTCCCATGGTTTTTTTTTTCCAAGTTTCTGTTGTTGATGTAGGAGTTGAATAATTCTGTAGCTAAGTAGCATTCAAGAACCACAAAGAGCAGAATCCTGGTTCCATTTAACAAAAGTGAACACTGTACTTTGTTCTAAGACTCCTCTTTACTTTCTCTTTCTGAAAATAGAAGAGTCTTGGGATAGACATGGACTTAGCCATGAGTATTGACAAAGTGCAACACTGTATGATTGATAAACCTCATGTTTAACCAACTCTGGAAGATAAACTAATGACACACTATTGTTACCTGAGGATTAATGTAAAATTCAGAATAAAGGACAAGAGCTATTTTGCTCTAGAAAGAAGTAACTACATTCCTACTTAGAAGATGCATTCCATAACAATGTTTGTTTGGACTGTTTTTATATTTCTAAAATAATAGCTTATTGCTGTATTCTTAGATTTTCAGACTTTTTAAAACAGTACTTAGATTTATACAGGATTTGTTTAGATACTTATAACAGTACCACTTTCTTTTGTAGTCATTTAGTTTTCTTTATAGACAAGAAAATAATCATTATTTTTTACAAGACAACACTTTTAGCCTTTCTTAGTAGAATACACAGGCTCATAATTTTGACTTAGAGCAATAATTTAGTGAACTGCACTCTTCAGTCCTCATGTGAGAACCTTGATTCTTACCCTCATCTTTTGTGAAGATATCTCAGCTGCTGAGGTATGATCTCTATCAACTGTATTCATTTAATAGAATATAGATTTTAAATATATATAGAAAGAGATATATATATTAAATGTGTAGGAATGTTCAGGCTGGGTGCTACAGGGCCTGAAGAAGCAGGTCTGTACAGTACCTTGTGCCAATAGATGCATGGAAATCAGCTGCACATTAATTCTTAGGCTTAAAGAGTTCATTTTGGAGGTACACGGTGTATAAAAATATTGGTAACTTCTTTAAGAGATGAGCGGGGGAAACGTGGAATTTTTGTAGGGAGTCTTCTCATACTTGAGACCTACCTGCAAAATGAAAGAGAATTTTAATCCATTATTGGTAATTTAGAGAAAATGACTTAACTTATCTCAGAAACATCATTGTTTCAGTAGTAGTTCAATTCTACCTGAATAGATTATTTGCAAATACAGATGTCTGAATCGGCTGTTTCAAATACTTATGTTAGAATAACTCCTTGTGTAGCATTTATCCAAATTTGTGCCTATCTGTAGGCACAGAGTATGAAAGTTTTCTTGAAACATATGGTTTAAGAAAAGTTGTCAAGTATGGACAAGTCCCTCATCAAGGATTTCAGGGCTGTGATTTTGGACAGGATATCAATAAGCCTTGCAGCAGAGTTAAGATTAATGACTGATTTTTGGTTAAATTATTTTTGAAGTATCTTTCATGTATATACAGTATTTCCTCTGTTATTTGTATATAGCTCAACTCTCAATTTTATAATCTCCTGGGCAGGGAGTTGTACATATTTAGCCTGAAGTGTTTTATGTTAGACTTTAATAAACTTGTTTTGTATTTTTCCCTCACCTTGTGTCTGCTGTTTATAACTGCAAGGGGTAACAACAAAAGGAGGAGGGAAGCAGTCTAACATAACCACCAAAGCACCCTGGCAGAAAGGTTGCCCTTTGCACAGCACAGTGCAGTACACAATGCAATACACAGTATACAACAAGGCTTACTACATTTCCTTGGCAGTAAAAAACACACCTGATTTTTCTGATAAAAGATATTTTGGTTCTGTTCAACCCAAATTAAACATTTTGTTTCTAGATGCAGTTTAATATAAATGCTTCTATATTAGTACTTTTATTTTTCTGCTGGTAAGATTTGAGGATTGGAGGTTTGTTTTTTTGTTTCTTTACTTAAACTGCTTTGAAAGTTCACTGTTTCTGCTGAAGATGACAGTCATTGAATTCATTGTATTTTACCTATTTTTACTAAGTAGTTCAACTTGACAGAAGGTGGTGTAATGGCCAGAGCACCCAGCAGGGCTCCGTGGACCTGCACTGTACCACTGGCCTGCTGGATCAGTCATTTTCCTTCCCTTTACACTGGGGCCTAAACGCTGCCTTTCTGAAAGGTGCTTTGAGTTCTGGCAGCTGAAGAAATGACTTACAGAACAGGATTGTGCTTTTTTAGCTACTAGAATAGCATGGCAAGAATACCTAGCTATGTGAATTCTCTCCTTCAAAATAACACAAGGATATATCTTTTAAGAATTTCAAGGAAAGCAGTGTTTCTCCTATAGGCCTTCTTAACCTATATATTTTTTTCTGCATACCTAGTTACTTTTACTGAATTTCGTATCAATGGATGCAAGCTAGAGTGCTGCTGCTGCCCTTTCTTACAAAGCAAGCTGCAGCACCAGCTATTTTTCCTGCTCTTGTCAATAATTCAGAGTGCTCCTGTGGGTCAAACATCCTGTTGTTAAAAATGCTTCAGAAAGTATGCTAGTATTTTCAAAAGTAGATTCCATTTATCCTGTGGGGTTTGCTTATAACAACCACATACTGCAAGTTAATCACAATACTGTTCTGATAAAAGTAAACAGTTTGCTCTTCAAGTTCCTGCATTATTGCAGCTAACTGCTTAAATTCACTGAACTTGTTTAACAAAATCTAAAGTATTTTTGGATAAAGAACAAAAGCATACTTTCTCTTTTTCCTTAGTAATGGCATACAGAGCCTAGTAGTGACAAATGGACTTACTCAGACCCCTAACTCTAACAGGAATCCTGTTCCACCACATATCTGATTTATCTCAAGCAAATCTACTGCTCAGCAGCAGTCCTAGATGGAAGTTTGAGTTTTCTGTCTGTTTCAATCAACACGGTCTGCATAGCTGCACTTCAGCCCACAGAGAGACAGTAGTAATTGCTGTGGAGAAACCTGGCTGCAGGAAGGGCAGCAGCAGCTGTTTCTCTGCAGCAGCCCAGGGGAAGAGGACACCACGGTCACAATACCCAATCCATAGGCTCTGCTGCTGCTCTGATGCACTTCCTGCATCCTCTTTAAATAAGCACTCAATAACTCCTGCACTGAGAAGGGCTCCTAAATAGAGCTGAGCAGTGCAGCTGCTAGAAGCTCAGTTCATGCACTGCTGATGTTTAAAGTCTTCCACCACCTCTTGTCAGTGACTGCTATATTCTGCATTACTGCTAACAATACCTGGTGTCACTTGTAGCGTGTCATGCCACAGTTTAAGTTGTTTTCATCTCAGTACATCACTTAAATACATTCATCTATCAACTGGCAAACAGGGAACTCCACCTAACCATGGCACAGTAAAGGACATGTGTGTGCAATAGTAATACTGTAGCAAAACAAACATGCTTTCATATTGATAGGCTTTTAATAGATTGGCCATTATTTAATAACAAGTTTTACAGTTATTGGTTTGATATTTCATCTCTAATGCTATTTTAAAGTATTTTAGGGTAAAGACACTGAAGAAACAGCCAGCAGTGTGTTTGATATCTGTTGTACCAGAAGACAGATAAACCTTTATGTGAGCGCACCAAGATCCTACCTTAGAAATATTCTGAAACAGCAGTAATTGCCAGACTGGCATTAGCAGCAGCGTTCTTCACCTCCCCATAACTTGGTGTCCAGTAGTAATGCTTTTTAAGGCCATGGGAGAGCTCTGCCAGGTGAACATGCCCATCCACTTCATACGGTTCCACATCTGTGCAATTAGGTTTCAAGCGGCCAGCCTGAATTAATTCTGAAAATGCCTGAAATGAA